AGTTTTGTTGGAGCAGATAACAAACTAAACTGAATTAGGTAAAGAAAAATGAGAGTCCGAATTGGGAAAAAGACTGCTAATATATTTTGCAGTCAAGTGTCTTTATTTATAGTATATGCTAAAAGCATTTATTAGGGTTATTTGGTAATTACACTTTAACAATAATCTCACTAAATAATTTATGTCTCTCAATGATGCTCCTTTAAAAAATCTGCCATGTCACTTACTTAATCTCTTAATGATCCTACCAATGGGGATGCCCTAAGAAGATTACATAATATTTGGGTATAGATATGGAATGTAGGGTTGCTACAATTTCTCGAGAGAAAATTGTTGCACATTTTCATTTAAAATTGCAATTTAACCCAGCCGTCCATTATTACTACATGTAGGGAAAGTTCCCGAAATAGGACTAAAACAGTTTGGAAATTCCAAAATAGGACTGTCATGTTTTTTATTCCTAAAATAGGAGTAATTACTGTCAAGTTTGGGAAATACTGCCATGTTTGAAGTCTGGTACTGTCAAAACATGACGGTAATTAGTCCTATTTTAGGAATAATAACGTGGAAGTCCTATTTTGGAATTTTCAAACCTTTTTAGTCCTATTTTGGGTAATATCTCCAAGGTAAGTAAATAATGTTTTAAACATGATACAATCATACGACACATATATGATCATGTTTTAGCAACATGCTCATATCATATATTATAAACAAATATAATTTTATGGTGTTAAGTACATAATTTAAAATACACAAAATTTTTATGATTTGCAAGTAAAATGAAATTATACCGGATGTAATATTATTTATTTCACAAATTAAATTTTAATATGGTAACTGCATTCATAAAAAACTTAGAGTATGTTAAATTATGTAATTGTGCCAATAAATTTGTGGAGAAAAACTTATTAAAACAAATAAAATAATTCAAATAAGAAGAGATATAAATTGTTCATTAATATTTTTGTGTCTATCTCTCTCATTCAAGTATTCAACATGTATATTTTACACATTGTAGCATTGAAAATGTTCTTAGTCATGTATATGTAATTATTTGGAAAATATTTCCCAAACTCTAGAAATATTTAATTACATTTTCATCATAAACTGTTTTCTTTTAAACTGTTTTCAATCCAAGACCAGACCAGAATTTCACAGTTATAAAATACACAGAGACCAGACATTTACCAAACCAGATAAGACCATATCAGACCAGCAAATTTCAGTCTAAAAGAAAACATCCTAAGAATGTTTTCTTTTAGACTGTTTTCAGTTTTAGACCAGATCAGACCAGAGCAGATCACACCAGACCAAATCAGATCAGACCATACCAGACCAGACTTTCTTAGTTATAAAATACAAAAAGATCAGACATTTACCAGACCAGAACAGATCAGATCAGGCCAGATCAGACCAGACTGACAAATTTCTGTCTAAAAGAAAACATCCTAAGTCCACATGCAATGGGTAATTTTCTGTAAAGTAATAAACACTAATTTGGTAATTTTTAAAGTCATAAATTAAAAAATATTATCTGCTTGAGTCAGATTAGGAGGTAATTATAGTTGGTCATTCTTACAATAAGTTCATATACATTTGCCTTCAGAATTTAAAAAAACTCCTAATAAGGAATAAAGAATTTCAATACATTAGAGTCAATTTTATTTTAAAAAATATTACCTGCTTGAGTCTGATTAGGAGGTAATTATAGTTGGTCATTTTGGTCAATAAATGATTTTGACCTAAAAAAATTGGGTCATATATTGGTGTATCACTAAAAATAATTCTAAATGATATACCATTTACAACATATATTTGAAATAAATTAACCTTACACTTTTTATGAAATATGACGAACATGAAATGAAATTCAACATCAAAATTGAGATCAACAAATCAACACAAAATTGAAGTTATGATACGAAAGACTAACGGCACTACCTATATCAAGGACATATTTGACATTAAAAAATTTCACTAGTATATATTTGCTAAATTCTCTTTTATACAAACTTATTTGTATGTTGTCATATCGAGAGTTGTCAATCGCTCAGAATAATGGAGGTAATTTTTTAAAACTTCTGAATGAACTGACTAACGAAACACAACACTTCAAAAATTCTAACCAAATGATGTTACATGACTCTATTTTTAGTTAGATGACATTATACTTTCACTTTCTTCCATTGGTCTACTCTAACGAAAACAGTAAAACACTTTAACACCATGTAATTAATTACTCACATTTCCAAAAACCTTTACCTACTTTTCTTATTTCATTTGCCTCAATAAATTTCTCAGATGCTCCATTTAGTAATACGTATGTAGTACTGATTTATTCGTTGTTTACACGTTTCAAATTCACCACTAATCACATAATTTTATTTTTTTTTAATAATAACTATCTCACTTTTTCGTGGAGGTAATATATTTTATTTTTTAATTCCCTACATCCTATACAAGCTCTAGATTTCTATAAATTATGTTAGAACCTATAGTGTTTTTTCATATTTTAATAATTTATTATCGTGCTCTAGATGGCACCCATGCAACACACGGGTCAATAGTCTAGTTTTTATATAAAGTTTGAGGTATATATATATATATATATATATATATATATATATATATATATATATGTATATGTATATGTATAGGTTTAAGATCAAATGAGAATATTATCTAGGGAAAGAAATGAGAATACATTGGAACCGTTAGATTGAAGCTTTTTTCTAATTTTTTATTATTTTCGTGGAAGGGTGTTTTAGCCATTTTATATTTATTTCCTTTTCAGCAAAGATATGTTCCGATTATATTCTCCTCTATTTTTGGACATGTGATTTGTTTCTTTCAACCGTTACATTATCACCATTACTTTTATCCTTATCAACTTATCATCTTCTTCACCATTATTTTGAGAAGAGACCATCACTGCAATCTCTATTTGTCAATTTTTTTGTTTTTGCTGCAAGATATTTCACACCTCGCAGAACAAAATCCCTCTCTAGCAAGGATTATTCAAAAAGATTGTATTGACAACTTCTTGAATTAAAACTTCAAACCATTGTTTCTTGATATTCACTCGATTTAGCGATAATATGGCTATATGGGTATCACTCAGGTGACTTGGCCTCTTATACTGGTTAATCTTTATTTTTATGTTTCCACCGCCAATTACCTCGCACACTTGCAGTTATAGGGTACGAGAGATGCACTGAAGTTCTATGTTAGAGTGTTGTTCAAAAGTTGGATGATGTGCGATTTTATGCGGAAATTAAAAATTATTTTGGATAGAAGATATTGAAATAGTTCGATGTTATAGTACATTTCAAATGTATTTCGGAACATAATGATTTCATCATTACTGTTACTTAATATTTCAATGCATTTTGATGTTTAGTTTAATGCACTTCCACTAAATTACATCGTGCACAAAGTTTTGTACACTTTCAATATCTTAAAAAGTGCATGTTAATGAGATAAATAGTTTAATACTTTAAAGCTTACATAGAAAGTGCATATTAATGACATAAAAAGTGCATGCATATTAGTGAGATAAATAGTGCACATTATTGAAATGAAAAGTATTATTTACAAATGTGAAAACTATCTTACAAATGTAACATAAAGTGCACGATACACTACAAATTTACAATGAAAAATATTTATCAACAAACTTATGAGATGCACACATACAAGTCACAACTCACAAGTGCATGATAATTCAATCATAATGTATCAATACTTTTCGGGTGAATTGAAGTGCACATTGTTTAAGTCCATGTAAATCCACAATAATGAAACTATTGTTAATTGCTTTGAAATGCGTTTTACAACAAAAACTAGGCGCATTTTATAATTAATTCAACACTATAGATAAATCTTAAGAAAAAATATATAATATTATAGAAAAATGAAAAGAGAACAATTCAAAAGTAAGAAGTTACAATGCTCGTTGTTGGTGCACTATATGTCCACACGTGTTGCACATCTATCTATATACTATAGGCTGCACCTTTAATATTATGATACTCTCCGTATAATATTGATGCATAACTATCTTATGAACAATGCACATATATATTTAAATGGAAAATAATTGTGGTTCGTGAATCTCAGTACATTAGGAGACTTGAATGTGCATTTAGTGAAACTGAAATGTGCATTAGGTGAAATCGAAATGCGCAGCATAAAAGGTAAGCTGAAATGTGCACTGGGTGAAACTGAAATGTGCAGAATAAAACTATGATGTGGTGCATTTTTTTAAGCCTTTTATTCTGCACATTTCAATTTCATGTAATGCACATTTGAGTTTTACTTTTCATTCTGCACATTTCAATTTCACTTAATGCACATTTCAATTTTACCAAATGCACAGTTCAATTTCACATCATACAATCCAACGGTCCATATTCATTCTCATTTCTCTCCTGGGAGTCCTTTGTCACTGGAACCCTCCCCTATGTATATTACATATGTCAGTTCAGGATATTTATCTCACACCCATTCAAAGCTTGGAGTATTTATATTATTTTTCTCTATTTATTTCCTTTTTTTTTTTTGAAAAAAGGCGGCTTATATTGATAGAGAAACATTCAGTAAGGGACAAAAGAGACAAATGAAGCACTTCCGGCCACCGACCCTCGGACCAGCCTGAGAACCAATCACATTAAACAGAGCAATGTGATTCGCTAATCCTATAACGGGTCTAGATGAGCCTATCGTGGCCAGAGCAAAACCCCTCTCACCCCAGCCTAATGTAATAATCTACAAAACAAAAACAAAAGAGTGACCACAAGAACAATAAAAACTGTAAGAGTGTGGAAATTAAAATGCATCCTAATTATCACGCACGAGCTCCAATGGCGTGGTTGTGATTCTGGAGGAGTCCGAGCTCTACTAATGTCAACATACTCTAAGAGAATGGGGACAGAAGCCCCTAACTTTAAAAGTAACATGTTTAATTTATTTATTTATTTTTTTGTTAAAAGTAACTAGTTTTCCCTTTTCTTTAATATCACCTTGTCCTGGCCACCCATCATCTGATATTCTGATCAATGGCTCTGCTTAACTCACAGATCCAAAAGTCTCCTGTAACAAGAGCCTACTCTAACTATGCCTACAGTATTGGGACGAGGAGAAGCAATATAGTGAAGGGTAGTGGAGGACGAGGAGCGGGAGGATGTTGCTCCGCCATTGCAATTGATGCACCGGACGCCGTTTCCGGCGCATCAGATGTCAGATGGGGGTCGGTGCTGCTACAGGGCACCCGTGAGGAGATGGAGGACGACGCCATGATAGTCCAGTCAGACGACCTTGCTGGATTCTCTTATGCTGCGGTTTTTGATGGCCATGCTGGGTTTTCTTCTGTTAGATTCCTCCGGTGCGTGGAAATAGATAAGATAACTTCAATCACATGTTATTAGACTTGAAAGTTAGGGGAAATGAAAAGAATTACAATTAAATATAGGTGAAATGTATGTCTTTTGGGGATTCTTTTTAAAATAAGAATCAGAATTTTCTGCATACTATAAAATGATTCAGGCTTTATTGTTTAGGAATTAGGATAGTGAGTAAACGGTATAGAATTGTTGTCAACTGTGATTAGGTGTTTCTTCTTTCTCCGTCCCCAATTGAGAGGTTCTATGTGCGGATTTTGAGGTGCTGTACGGTTGTACCTACTATAGATTTGGATTTTAGAATTAATTTTGATAACATTTAAATTGGTTGAATCAACTGAAACCGTTAGAATTAATGAAATTCTGGCGGAAGCGGCTGAATTAGTTGAATTGTTGAATTATGGATAAATTATACTCCGTATTATATTTAAAATATATTTTATTAATAAAATAAAGAAAAATTATGGAAAATAGCTAAAGTGATCCTAAAGAAAAATTATGAAAAATAGCTAAAGTGATTCTCTTGAGTAACTTTAGCCAATTCAGTAACTCCAATTTTACTTAAAAAGTACTCCAGCCAAAAAAAACCTGTACTTCAGCCAAGTACACGTGTAGTAATGATTACACGTGTACACAATTCAGCGCGAGGAATAAAAAATTACGTATTTGGTAAATTAGTTGATCTAAAAGGCTGAAAATATGAGTTACCTAACGGTCTCCGTAAAGGTTGACCAAACAATTAGAACACCATCAATCATTACATTAACTTAAAAATTTAAAGAATTAAAAAATTGGGATGACAAAAAAAGTCAAATCATTTTGGGACGGAGTGAGTCAAAATAATGACATAAAAAAGTCAGTAGACAGAATGAAAAGAATTAAAGCCGAGTACCAAAAATGTCATTTCCATTTTACTCACTAGTCGGTAGACTAAAAATGGCAAAAACTTTATTACGTGGCTCAAATTATTGTCCCACACACGTTCCGTTCGTGTCGGGCTCCACTAAAAGCGTTTGTAAGCTATAACCCTCTGACACTCTCTAGAGTTGAACTAATTGATTTACTTGATTTCTATTTACTACTTCCTGGCTATTTGTTGACAATTATAGCATGCAAATATTTAACTGTTTTACAAGGTTTTCATTTAGAAAGGTTTTTTGAATGATGCATGGCATGGGCTATAAACCACAGGGATGAACTATATGAAGAATGTGTTAGAGCATTACATGGTGGGGTGTTGTTGAACGGAAAAGACCTAAATGTGATACGAAAAGCACTTCAAGAGGCTTTTGAAAATGCTGATGCAAAACTTGTGAATTGGTAAGTTCCAAAAATGTTATATCTTTGAAAGTTCTGATCTTGTTTTACCGGGCTTCTCGGTAACATGGTCCAGTTATGATTTAAGTCTTCTATATATGAATGCATTTAAGGTTTAGCTGCTATTTCATTTTATAAGGCTTGAGACAAGCGGTCAAGAAATTGAATCTGGATCAACAGCTACAGTTATCTTTGTTAGAAATGACACTATGTTCATTTCACATGTTGGGGATTCATGTGTGGTATGTGATATTTATTAAGTCTCATCAATATCAAAGGATTTATTGCATCTGTTTTCTATACAATACATCAAACTTGCCCATGTGTCATGTATTTTAGGTAACAGGCCAACTTTGAATTTGGCTTTTAGATCATTGTAACAGTTAGTAAAAATGTCACTGTTGACATTTTTAGATGTTTGAAGAGAGGCACTATAAAGTCACTGCTTCTCTTTTAGAATTTATCAAACAGTTAAAAATTAATTTATCATTACAATTGGAGTTGTAGTTGTTACAATCAAATTATTGAGATGATCTAATGGTTCAAATTGATATTTGATAGTAGTACTAATGAGCAAAAAAATCCTTGACCCTTCTAAAATCAATTGTTAGCCAAAATCAAAATCCCCCCAGACTAGAACTTTCTTAAGGCTTTGTTTGCAACCACTTGTGCTTAAATAAAAGCACTTTTTGGGAAAAAGTGATTAGTAGTAAAAGTTGGTAGTGTTTGGTAAAATAAGTGCTTTTTGTGTAATAGAAAAAGTAAAAAGTAGATTCTACACGAAAACCGAGAAAGTAAAAGTTGGTAGTGTTTGGTAAAATAAGTGCTTTTTTCTTTTAAAAAAAGCCAAAATCACTTTTCTTAAGTAATTGCAAACAAGCCCTAAGTGTGTCTGGCTTGATATTTCACACATACTCAGGTTATCTCACGGTTTGGGAAAGCAGACACATTGACTGATTCTCACCGACCCTATGGAAGAAACAGAGCTTCCCTTGAAGAAATTAGACGGATTAGGGAAGCTGGTGGATGGGTGAGTTTTATACTTTATGCTTTTTGTGAATTCAAAGATGCTCTTCGCATGAACTCTAATTCCAGTTTTGTGTAAGAAAATGCAGATTGTAAACGGGCGAATATGTGGAGACATCTCTGTGTCCCGTGCGTTTGGGGACATGCGGTTTAAGAACAAGAAGAATGAGTACGTTTTTGTTATAGACTAAGCGCTGTAATTCGTTATTTCTTCACAAATCCAAATGTGGCCTTTGCATAAATAGTATGGAGTATGGACTTGTAATCCAGTATTTTACAATATCTTATCCCTCTTATGGCATGCTGACTGAAAGGATGCTGGAGAAGGGTGTTGAGGAAGGAAGGTGGGGTCAAAAGTTTGCTTCTCGGTAGGTTCTATTTCAGGTCCGATCCATCTCTTTATATTACATAGTACATACTGTACATTTATATGGGATATGCTTGATTTGATGTATAAAGGTAGGACATTGACAATGTCCTTTATTCTTTTATGTTCCAAGTCCCTAAGTCATCTTATACTTGCCAAACTCAAGCTAGTCTTCCTATCAGGTGAATCATTTAGGAAGAAATCTCAAGTTTTAATGTGGTATTACTGTATTAGACTTAGACATAATTAAAGTCAAGCAAGTATATGATTCAATTACGACTCAATTAAAGCCCATGATCTTCAAGATTGTTTGTTTCAGTGAAGAGCCATTTTGCAAGAGAATGTTAAAGTTATTCCATATCAACAGCATATAAAGATGCAAACTCACATTTAATATCTTTGTATTATGATTAAAACTGTTACACACCATCCCAGGGTAAAGTTTCACAGTGATTTGCTCACAGCATCACCGGATGTTTCTCAAGTTACCCTTGGATCAGATGCAGAATTTGTACTATTAGCATCCGATGGATTGTGGGATTACATTGACAGGTCTGTTTTGAATGCACTATAGAAGATTACAATCTATATTCAGCCGTGCTTGGTTGAAATATTCAGCAGTTTATGACTCCCTTGATGAATGTTGTCAAAATTCAGCTCAGATGCAGTTAACATTGTTAGAAGTCAACTTAGGGAACACGGGGATGTTCAGGTAAAACAATCACCATGACTCCAATATTCCTATTGCCCTCCTACAAGTTACAACATTGTGTTTAACATCTTCTAGCTCTGATGACAGAGAGCATGTGAAGCCCTTGCCCGGACTGCCTTGGTAATTAACTTCACCATAATCTAATGCAAGCTTGCATGCAGAACCTCAGTTACATTACTATATAAGTATATATATTTCAGTTCTAATGGAAAAAAAATTCCCATTAAGGATGTTTTCGCTTGGATTGATTTCCGTCTCATACCAGACTAAATTAGACTAGACTTACATATGAGTAATACCATACATTACTAGAAAAATTCAAACCAGAACGACTTAACGAGGTCAGACAAAAAAAAATCAATCCAAGTGAAACATCTGAACATCTAGAATAATTTAGTTATTTCATTAATTAAAAATGGATGCAATAGATAAATTTTTCATTGGAAAGATGGTGAAAAAGTTGTAAATATTTGAATCATTAATAGTGTGAAAAATCTTTTCGTACAAAGTGCATCGTGCTCACATAAAAGTGTGTTCATTGTTGTTTAGAAAATGTTATCATGCTTTTGTAGTTTTAAAAAATATATTTTAGATTTTGATTCACTCCTATAATGTACGAATGCACTTTTGGTGTAGTGATGCGATTTTAATAGTATTTTCATTTAAGGTTATCTTATTTACAATAATACACCACCTTTTTGACTTAAAATTAATTTTAACCATCATTTTTTCACAACAACGATCAAGATTGGTTCTACATTTTCATCTCATATGCCATTTTTATTTGAATTAAATTATACATGCGCGTCAATGCTTGTTATATTTTTCTACAGGATCGACAATCACAAGATAACATCAGCATCATTATTGCTGATTTGGGGTACGCACTACTTGTTGGACGTGTTAGTGTTACAAATTTGTGTTTCTTCAGCTTTTGACCAATATGATAATCCAGCAAGACAAAAGTTTTCAAATTCTATATAGGCATTCTTACTCTAGACACCAGATTTATGCATGCACACTAGGAGAATGAGGTGATTAAAATTGCATATCTTTGTCGCATGTTCATATTTCATATGTTGAAGAAACAAGTCTTTGTTTTAGGCCCATCATGAGTGCACAGGTTGGAGCTCTGCATAGCTATAGTTGCAAACCATGATTGACCTGTTACTGAAAAACTTGCTTAGATTAACTTTCTTTTCGGGTTTTGGATTTGATCTGTTAAGCAGGCGGACGGATTGGCAAAGCTTGATTGTGCAGCAGCAAAATGTTTTCTTTGAGCTGGTCCAAGCTTTAGCTACTATAGGGATTGTATCAGTTGGATTATGGATGTCGACACAGCTCTCCCTTTGAGCTTGTAGCTTGTTGAAATATGTAATTGTATATGATAAAACCAGATCAGCTGAAAGACGCATTTAGAGAAGAGATCATCATATGGTTATATACTTGTATTTATCTTGCATCTTCAATTCATTAGCTCATGTCAGTGTTGATTACTGTAGTGTCTACAACTCACTCTAAGAAACTAGATCTTGGTGTAGTTTATTGCATGCCTCACTCTGATTTGTTGCTTTTTTGTTGATTCACTTCATAAAAGCTACTCCGAAAAAATTTAATGAATTGTAATAAAAGCTAAATTGAAAACTAAAGCAATAAAATGTTCTCTTTTTTTCTTTTGAAATTTGGTGGAAGATTCGAAGGGCATATCTGGTTAATTCAAGCAACTACATTGGTTCCTAGAATCCTAGTAGGGATTTGCCTACAATTTTGTGGACTCGGTTCGGGCCGGGCCCGGTTCGGGCCTTGAACCGGCCGGGCCTCGGTTCACCAAAAGGAGGGCCCGGACCCGAACCGGTGGCTCCCGGTTCCGGGCCGGGCCACCCGGGTCATAATTTTTTTTTTGCGTCTCTTATTTAACCCCCTATCCCTCCCCCTCAACCCCAAACCACCCCAAACCACCTCAAATGGCCCAAAATACCTAATCCAACCCAAAACTTAAAAAAAATTCAAAAAAAAAAAAAAATCTGGCCCGGACCGGGCCCGAACCGGCCTGGCCGGTTCACCAAATGGAGGGCCCGGAACCGGTATCCACCGGGCCGGTTCGACCCGAACTGCCGTTGGACCGGGCCACCGGGCTGGTTGCTACAGTGGGCGGGCCGGGCCAGTTCCGGGTCGGGCCGCCCGGCCCGAGTCCATCCCTAAATTGAAGGCACCTACCTAGACTAGAGATGGACTAGGATGGGCCGGCCAACCCGGGACCCGGCCCGGTACTGTGCAGGCCTGACCCGTCCTGCCGGGCGGTACCGGGACCGGCACTAGGGGCTTGAACCGGGGATTAAATAGGACGGTCTTCGGGCTGCTGAAATGGTGGACTGGCCTGGGCCCAATTTTTTTTCTATTGATTGGTTGTTGGGTGGGGGTGGGGGGTTTGGGGAGTGGGGGGTGGGGGGTAAGAATAAATTCAAAAGCCATTTTTTTAATTTAAAAAAAAACAAATGTGACCGACCCGATTCAGGCCCAGCCCAGTACAAACCAGGGCCGGTACTGGGCGTGCAACCCAAAACCCCAGTCCCGCCCAATCTTGTCTCAGGTCCCGGCCCGGGTCCGGTCCACCCCTAACCTAGACAAGAAATTGAAAAAATATATAAAACAAACCTTGTACGGTTGTACCTCTAATTGGCCGGGACCGGTCCACCCCTAACCTAGACAAGAAATTGAAAAAATATATAAAACAAACCTTGTACGGTTGTACCTCTAATTTAAAAAGCATATTGAAATTTGGTCTTCATCTTGGAGTTTTAGCAAGTGACGTTTCCTTAATTGTGGAATATTTAGTTCTATATTCTGCCATAAAAATGTAGCAAAGCAAATTGGATCACGTTTTTTTGAAGTAGTGTTACTATTGTATTTGTTCTTTTATTGTGCAATGAGTTGAAATATCGTTTCTGAATTTGTTGCCCCCCATACACTATATAGATTAGTATTTGAAATGAGGTGTTCCCTATTTGAGTAGGCTTTGGTCTAGCCCTCTTACTCATGTATATTTTCCTATTTTTAATAAATTTGTGAGGTGTTTTCTGGCCCTCACCTCAAAAACTCGGGTTTTGGCTTAAACCGGGTTAAAAAAAAAAGATTAGTATTTGAAATGATTGTTTACATATTTGAAAGTAGTACTAAAGTCAGTGGCATAGCTAGGGGTGGGTCAGACCTGGCCCAACCCAATTTTTAAAAATGCCTTTATTTTTAGTATAAAAAATGCGTGTAATTTTTTTTTCCAAAAATATTCTTTGTACCGACCCAGTGTCCTGGCTCCGCCCCGGACTAAAGTGCACCTTATTACAAGAGATTAGAAATTACGAGATGAGTTAATGGCCTAAAGGATGAATTGAAAGAACATGAAACTCATTCAAGATAATAAACTTGTAACCATGTATTTGGACAATAGATGAGAACAGATTGTACGTTAAATATACGGAGTATATTGTTGAAGTTCTCTCTTCATGACATAGCATTAACCGAGATTGTCTAGTTCACTAGTTGAGATGTTTTGATCAAATTAAAGCTGTTGGTAATGAATCGTGTACTAGTATAAAGGGAAAAGAATCATATAGGCCCCGAAACTTACATTAAAAGGTCAAATAAGTCCTTATATAGGAGGCTCTGTCCGGCCGTCGTCATTTGGGTCGGTTCCTGGTGGAATTTTTTGATGAAATTTTTTGAGCATCTTATTCATTAAGTCTAGTTTACTCATACCAAATTTCAGCTAAAACTTCAATCGGGAAGGCATTCAAATGAATTTTTGAAGATAACTGCGCAGTTAAAAGCGCAGTGCACCGCGGTGCACATGTGACATGAAAAATATCCACATAAATATTAGCAAATAAATTATTTATTTCCTTATTCGAATGATTTTATATAATTTAAGTAACTTGTTGTCCACAATGTCAGGAAGACCGTCTAGATGTTGACATTCCAGAAAAAAATTAAACTTACCAACATTGTATAAAATCATTCAAATAAGGAGACAAATAACTTGCTAATATTTGTTGGCTCTATCCTTCCAAAATCAACGTGTTGACCGTGTTGCTCCTAAATTGACCCAGTCACTATCTACCTCCGAGAATTGACTTGCAAAATAATCACTAAAAAGAACTAAAAGTATATTAGTGGCTCGAGACGCGTCAGACGCTGTCCTAAGGAATTATTTCCGACGTACGGGAATTTTCCCCAAGATATAACGAGCCCTTCGGTTTGAGACCGGTAACAGAACTAACGAGAAGAAAATTAGTATATGAATCCAATAATAAAAATATGATTTCAGTATATCATTTTGTGAAGAAGAATTCTTCCGGAGAGTATAAAATAAAATATCCCAAGTACTCTTTGTTATTCCTTGCATGAATCCTTGGAAACATTCTCCAGCACATTAATATAATGACTCTCCGATCGATCCACTAACTAAGTACAATATATCATTATATTGTTGATCGAGTATGTATAAAGCCTTGTTTGCAAATGCTTTTGAAAAGCACTTTTGGGCTTTTCTGAAAGCAGAAGTCGAAATAGGTGTTTGTAGCGGACCACTTCGCCGTTTGTTCATCCCTGAAGCCAGAAGCAGTTGTTTTAATTAATCTTGATAATTTGGTAATTCTTGAGAAGTAGGAGATCATTTATATTGTTAATATTTGTTGTATCCCATTAATGCCCTTCTCTTTTTCCTTCTTTCCTTGATGCATCATTTGTATACGGAATCAGACGCATCTCTCCCTAATCGACGAATGAAGCTCCCCAACCCTAAAGTTCTAATCCATCTTTCTCCGTGTATCTGCGCTGCAAAACCAGAGGAGAATCGGCCAAAGCAATTCTGAAGCTCAGTTTTTTTTTTGGGGGGGGGGGGGGCGTATTCTCCGGAAACCAAAGAACAAGACCTAACTATATGAGTGTAAAATGAAGTCAGAGTTCGGATCTATCGTACCTGGTTTTGCAGGAACTGGCATAGCCAACCCTAGCTCTGCTTTTCAACGTCTTGGAGTCGACATTTCCGCAGCTCTACGTGGAAGGAATGTGGATGAAATGAAAGTGATAAAGGTTTAATGAAAGAGGGGCATTTTTGTACATTAATAAAAAAACTACATCAATAATCATTTTTTACCAAACGCTCTAATTTCAACACTTTTTTGTAAAGTCGCTTATTTTTTCAAATACTGTCAACTTTTATAATTAATCACTTTTATTATGTCATTAGAAAAAACACTTTTTAAAAGCAGAAGCAGTTGCAAGCAGTTCAGGACTACCGACAATATATTTGTATTTAAATTTTAAATATACGTTACAGTTTATTTAAACTGATTCGCTCTGTCCATCTCATTCTGAAATCTGAAACCCCCATCTTGACCAGTTGGCCAGTTCCTCTTTGGATCCTGATCTTTCTCGTGTCTGATCGAGGGAAAAGGAAGCTCGTTCAATAAATTCTCTATCGCTTCAAGGAAAAGGAAACGCTTCTGTGAATCATCACCTCGCAATTATGGAGAATTCGAAAATCGAGAAGCTGGACGGTCTGGCCCGGTGGGTCGGCTCAGGTGTGGCGGCGGCGTTCTTCGCGTCGCTGGAGCGGTGTTCCTGCGTCAACCTCAACACCTCCGACAGCGACAACGAGGACGAAGAAGAGGCTAAGGATGTCCCCCTCATGCTCTGTACTCCCATCCCTTCCCACATCGATCCAGACATCACTAACCCTAACCCTAAACCAGACGCCACTGTCCGCACCGCCACCGTCGAGGCCCTCCCCGTCTGAAGATTCTTCGATTGACAGATCCATGAAGCTGATGGGTAACTTTGAATCTATATCTTTTGTGTCCGAAATTTGTTTCGTACGAAATGTCTTACGAGTGTGTACTTGTCGATTGCCATTAATGTTGAATCAAATCAACTATGTTGATTGTTGAATTGTTGGAGGATTAGAATTTTCGTACATTGTATGACAGCAAATACAGACACCCTAAATGGTTGGTGTCGTGAATACATTGTCTATGGGTTTTGATTTGAAATCACTTGATTGTTTTCCAGGTTACAGCTCAAAGCTATGAATGTTCAATTGTTCATCCAACCTAACTTATAGAGCCTTTGGCTGAATGTACGAATTCGTCTAAAAAAAGTGTTCTGTGAAATCCATTTCAAGGAAATTGTAGTTATGTCTACAATGGTTGAATCTTTGGAATTATGAAATAATTATATTTGACATATTCGTTAACAAAGTGAAGAAAAAAATGAAAGATCTAACATTGCCCTTTTGAACAAAAGTTAAGTTAATGCAGAGTGCCAAAAGGTGGTTTGAGAAGTAGGGCTTATACTTATACTCCGTATGTCGGTTGAGTTGGTGGAGCAGGTGGGTTAAAGTAATGACTAGCTTGTCACAGAGTTTGATGAGTGTGTTTTACTTGACTAGCTTATGGTTTGAGCCTGTCACACAAGTATTTTGAGCTTGTCACAAAGATTCGTTTGAGAAGTGGACAGTGGAGCATACTTATTTGACGAGAATTCTTGGTGTTCATGTTTTTATATACATCAGTACACCTCCGTGTGTCTGTGAGAGTTTTTTTGTCTGGCA